TGACAAACAGTTTTCATGCAAAGAGGTGCTGCAATTTTTTTTAAAAGTATTTGCATGCATGTAAACTAGCGGAGGAAGAATTTCTGCAGGACTGAAGCTTTCTTTGTTTCTGCAACAAAAACCATTCAGCAACTCTTGAAACTTTCTGCAACTTTCGGCTTCCATTTACGCAGGAGAACAGCCATGAACACGAAATTAAATGAAACATGCAAGCTTGTCAACTGATTCCACAAAACTCAACTCAACACAAATCATACATGTTGGGTTCTACTAAATTCTAGCATGTTGGGTTCAAATTCTGATGGTTGTTGGAAGCATTTTATGCAAGTTCTTATGAAAACCATGAGGAAAACAAGCGTATGTTTCAGCCACCAAAGATGAAACCTGCTGCATTTTTGTTTACCAACACATATTTCTGGTTCGAATGCATGACTTTGATCTAAACTTTTGCACCAAACATCAAACCTCTAAGCTAGGCAACCAAATACCATTGTCTACTTCACTCTTTTCAACAAGGAAACCGAGCATAGAATCAGCAAAAGAAAAGGAACTTGGGGCATCGACTGATTTACTCATTCTATAAACCATGTTTAGGTTGTGGCCTGCTATTATACCACACTTTGCTGCAATAAATTACAACAAACGCACACAATGGTATCACCATCCAACAACGAACAGACCCAACAGAAAAATATCGAACCAAAACAGCATTTTAATCACCCAAGGGAACCAGTCTTGCCGACCTCGCTGCAATAAGCCGAAAACTCAAACCATATTATGAAGCTTTAACATCTTAACCCATCTCAAACCAAAAAATTTTAACAAACAACAAAAAAAATCTAACTCCCAGTTTATCATCAAGGTGTAATAACAAACACACAAAAGGAAAGAAAATCTGAACTGGGGAAAAACTTGCCCAGATTCATTCATGACCTTCCTACAAATTCCTGAGTTTTCACCTGACCGCGCAGCAGACAAACAACTTGGAGCATCAGAGATCATTAAAAAGGAAACCCATGGATCAACCCATTTCATTTTCATGAAGGAAAGAAAACGCAAAAGCTGATAGCTTTTTAGCTGACGAATCCCCAATCAAACACGTTCAAAACACAACTACTGAAGTTATGCTAACAAACAATGCATTCAGCAGACAAACAATGCATTCTAATGGCCCAGATACTAGTCATGCTAATCAAACAAGAAGCCCACGTTTAGTTTTAGAAGAAACAAAACAAAAATAGGGTTTAAGACTACCTCTTTTCCTGCCTTTTGGAGCCGAATCACCGTGAATATGCTGGGATGAGCAAAATTCACCGAGTCCAGTTTGCAAGCTCCTATCTTCAGGTCCGAAGCCTGCCTCCTTCCTCCTTCCCAAGCTCTCGGCCTACGTTTTTCCTTCCTTGCTCGTCTAGTTCGTCACTCTCAGCTTTCTTTCTCGCGGTTTTCCCGTTTTCTGTTCTCCTCCTCACAGGCCCCTCAGATCTCTCTCTCGTTGTTTTCAGTTTTCCCTTCAGCCACCAAGAGGTTCCTCTGGCTGTCCGCTATCTTCTCGTTTTTCCTTTTGTCCAACCTCTCTTAAGACCCTCAGCTACCCACCAGATCCCTTCTTTTGTTTCGGTTTCTCAGTTCTGCTCCTTTATCAAACTCCAGCCGCCTCCCTGGTCTCTCCTCGGTCGCTCCTTTCTTCACTCTATCTCTCCAATCCAAACTCTCCAGCCGTCCCCCTCTCTTCAAGTCACAGACTTTTTCTCAGATTTTTCTTTTGTCGGTTTTTCCTTTTCCAAACCCTCAACCCCAGATTCTAGCTGTCAACCTCTCTCCCTTTTTTTCAGTCGACTATCCCCCCTTTTTTTTTTGCGGCTGCCCTTCTTTTTGCTATTTATATGGGACTCCTCAACCCTACAACCCAGCACTTCCTCTGAAATTACAGCCAAAGGCTGCCAAGTCCTTCTTTGCAAGCTGCGGCAACACGCAGCTTTTGGCATGCGTGACTCTTTTTTTTTTTTTTTTTTTTATAACTTAATTAAACAAAGTTGAAAACAGTAAAAATAAATAACAAAACAAATTAATTAACATTAGAAACAACAATGTGCATTTTTCATTTTTCATTTTCCATTTTCATTTTTCCCTTTTTTTTCTAAATGAACCAAACGAAAATAAAATAAATAAAGTAGAAATGACTAAAAATAGATAAATAAAGCCAAATAAAACAAAATTGCTATTTTTCTTTTTCTTTTTTTCTTTTATGATTTTTCTTTTTTTCTCTTTTTTCAAGAAATTCTATGCTAAAACTTAAAAATAAAGATAAAAATAAAACTAGAAACTAAAAACTAACAATCGAATAAAACTAACACGATAAATAAAAACTAAAATAAACAGTAAATGAAATTACACCAAAAATTTGTGTCTACACGCACGCCACACGAGACACGGGTGGTAATACTCGAGTATACCGTTCTGCCGAGGAGATACACTCCACTCGACATTACTAGTTACCCAGGGTTCGTTATCTAATCGATCAGGCCCTTGCCGGCTCGACTCGATTAACTAGCCTCAGGGTTTCTGGAATTCCAGACAAGACGAAATTTGTATGCAAGTATAGCATTTCAAGTGAAATCATGGAACAATAGCAATTTTGATTAGGGCAAGTGCGATAAAGTACACTCTTGCCTTAAAATTTCACGTATATAACATGTAATCACATTGGTCACGTATCAAATACAAGTATTAAGTGCAATTCGATATTTGAAAGCACTCACCAAAACAAGTATAGTGTTTTTAGTGGTCTCGTCCAGATGATACTCCTAGCTTGGAGTCCAGATCTACGATAAAAAGTTGCTTAAGAACTTGGAAAATCATGTAAGGTTCGAACTTAGACGTTTCGTTCAATAATAATCAAGAAATTGAAATTCGTTTGGAAAATATCCGTAGATCACTCGCTCGCTTTTCAAATGGTAAACTTTGGTATCAATTATACTTGGAAATAGCTTTTAAGTCGAAAGTGCAAGGAAAACAGATTTATAGTGATTAATACCACCTTCCCTAGGGGTACAAGTTCGGATAGGTTCTAACGTATAACCCTCGATAAACCAAAGTAGCAAAATTCCTAGATGGTTTAAGTGATATTCGTTTGTCAACCTTACCCAAGTCGTAAGTGTATCTCTCTAGTCTTCGAACGTGAATTTGGGCAGCATGCCCTTTGTGTTTACCTAATTTTTCAGCCATTTTGGCTTTATTATTTTTCTCATTCAACCCCAAAGTCATACATATCATAGATTCAAGTAAATAGCCATTCCATAGGCTCATAACAACATAAGACCAAAAATCAAAGTGATAACAAGTGCGGAATTGTAACCTAGCAAAAGACAGGTTTGACGTGTTTTATCGGAAATGACACAATTGATACTATGCTTATCGGATTGAGATGAAACTTATATTTTTTCGAAGATAAGAGATAGAGCTACAATGTTCATGAAGATCACTTAGTCCAATTTCCAGCGTAACCTGGTCAAATTCCCAAATTACAGAGCCAACTTCCAAATATACGGCTAATTAACTGCACTGCACTGGAGTGGTCATATCTCAGGCTACCAAGGTCTGTTTAAGGTGTTCTTGGAAGCATTTAAAAGCTAAGACAGAGTACTAAAACTTTTATGTTTGGAAAATGACTAAATCCGAACGGATCGTAGTGAATAAACACAACCAAAAAGACTAAACTGTCCACTGCGGAACACTGGAATTTAACTTAGGGCAGTGAGGGTATTTTAGTCTTTTCATAGGCTACATTGCTCCGATTGAGCTGAAATTTTGTAGGCTCCTATAAAATACCATTATATACAACTTTAATGTTTTAGGCCAAGCCTAATTCGCCTCTAACTATGAGTACTAAAACGGGCAGAATGTAAACATAAAATTCCAGAAATCTGAAGTTTTTGGGATTTCATGACAATCTATTTATTTTCTTGCTTCCAACACTACCAAAGCCCCTTATATAATCTTATATACAACATATACTAATTATACAACAAGTTTAGGCAGAAATTTATTAAACCCTAACTTGCATATATCATCCAAAATTATCACCACAACTTGCATATCTCGTAATCAAGCCAAAACATGAACTAGATAACATCTTAAACCAAAATTTAAAAGAACAAGAACCATGATCAGATCTTATACCTCAAAGACAAAGCTTGGAAGAGTGATACTCCACCTCCTTTGGAAATTTTTAGTTCCCCTAGCTTCCAACTCACAACTCACTCTTTGATCGATTTAGTTTCCTTTCTTTCTCACTTGGTTGATCAAACTCAAGATGAAATGGTTGTTTTTCTTGGTTTTCTTGCTCTCCCTTTTCTCTCTCTCTCTCTCGGCTGTGATGGTGCAGAAATGAAGAGATTTGGAGTTGATTTTAGGGATAAAATATGATGTAAATTCATTAGTCAACCAACCAAGGGAAGACTACTATTTGTTGCTTCAAGATTGGTTCTTAATTTTTTCCTTTTCCTTGTTGTTTTTTGGTCAAAACATTCGGCCAGCTTGCTCAGCTTTATAGCTGATGTTTGGCTCTAATATTAAAGAGATTAAGTATATAAAAAATGATGGTCAAGTGGTGCGTTCAATCGGTGGTGCGCGCCACCCGTCGGTTCGCGCCGTTTTTCCTTAAATCACACGTACTAGGGTTTTTACTTCCTATTCACTAACTTTTCATCATTGCTCCTAATCACATATTATTTCTCATTTAAAAGTCACTTTTAATCACCAAATTTGATCCTTGCTCTGTACCGAAAATTCATCCGGCGGAAAATCGCGAAAACCCTAATTTTGCTCCAATCTTGAAACCGATAGTGAAACCCTACTTTCTAGTTTTATTTACACTTATTGTGGAATAATTGGGTTGTAGGGCTTTAATAAATAATAATTTCTAAATAAAATGGCATTTTTGAGAAAAATATGAGAAATTTGCGAGTCCTCACACTCTCTCCCCTTAAAAGAATTTCGACCTCGAAATTCATATCTTTCGTCGCAAACAGGTCGGGATATTTCTCTTGCATGTCCTTTTCTAGCTCCCAGGTCGCTTCTTCCACTTCATGATGCTTCCAAAGAACATGTACTAAAGGAATCTGCTTGTTTCTCAGATCCTTCACCTTCCGATCCAATATTTGAACGGGTCGCTCTTCATAGGTTAAGGACTCGTCGAGTTCAACCTCTTCGGGTGGCAAAACGTGAGTCGGATCCGGATGGTATTTCTTAAGCAAAGAAACATGGAAAACGTCATGGATCCTAGACAAACTAGCGGGTAACTCAGGTCGATAAGGCACCTTTCCTATTCGCTGGAGTACATTGAAAGGTCCTATATATCTTGGTTGCAACTTTTTCCCTTTTCCTGCTCGAATCTTTCCTTTCAACGGGGTAATTCGAAGAAACACTTTATCCCCTATCTCAAACTCCAAATCCTTTCTCCGATGATCGGCATAACTTTTCTGTCGACTTTGAGCCGTTTGCAGTCTCTGGCGAATCATCTTTACCCTTTCATAAGCTTTCTCAACCCATGGTATTGTGGTCGGATCTATAATTTTTCTCTCTCCTACTTCATCCCAATGGATTGGGGATCGACATTGTCGTCCATACAAGGCTTCATATGGGACCATTTGAAGAGGAATGATAACTATTGTTGTAAGCAAATTCAACCAAGGTTAAGTATTGACTCCAACTTCCTCTAAAATCCACAATACAGGCTCTCAGCATATCCTCAAGAGTTTGAATGGTTCTTTCAGATTGTCCATCAGTTTGCGGATGATATGCTGTACTATAGTTCAACTTAGTTCCTAGAGCCTCTTGCAATTTCTACCAGAGTCGGGATACAAATCTAGGGTCTCTATCGGATACAATGCTCACTGGTACCCCATGTAGTCTCACCACTTCATCCATATAAAGTTTAGCAAGTTTCTCCAAAGAATATTTCATATTTACTGGTAGAAAATGCGCGGTCTTGGTTAATCGATCTACTATCACCCAAATTGCATCATACCCCTTTTGTGTTCGTGGCAACCCTGATACAAAATCCATCGTTATGTGCTCCCATTTCCATTCAGGGATCTCTAAAGGCTGTAACAGACCTGACGGCTTTTGATGTTCAGCTTTTACCTGTTGGCACGTGAGACACTTTTGCACAAACTGGGCAATCTCCGCCTTTATATTCTCCCACCAATACAGACTTTTAAGATCTTGGTACATCTTATTATTTCCTGGGTGCACCGTATACCTAGAGCGGTGAGATTCCTCCAAAATTTGTCTCTTTAACTCCTCATTCCTAGGTACCACGATATGATTTCGGAACTTCAAGATTCCATCAGTACCTAAGTTAAAGTTAGGCAACTCCCCTTTCTTCACCCTTTCCACCCACTTTTGCACAATTGGGTCCTTCACTTGGCCCTCTTTGATCCGCTCCATCAGTGTCGACTTCACCTCAATATTCCCAAAAATCACTTTCTTTGGTTCCAGACGAGATCTCCACTCACATACGTCTTCCAACAGGCTCCACTCTCTCACCATAGAACTTGCTAGTTGAGTCTTTCGGCTTAAAGCATCTGCTACAATGTTGGCTTTTCCAGGGTGGTAGTTAATTGTACAGTCATAATCTTCTAAGAACTCTACCCACAGACGTTGTCTTAGATTTAGCTCCTTCTGAGAAAACAGATACTTAAGACTCTTATGATCCGTATAGACCTCGAAAGTTACACCATAGAGATAATGTCGCCATTTTTTCAAATCAAACACAACAGCTGCAAGCTCCAAGTCATGGGTTGGATAGTTTAGCTCATGAGGTTTTAACTTCCGAGATGCATAGGCAATCACATTCCTATTTTGCATCAACACGCACCCTAGCCCCTCTTTTGAAGCATCGGTATAAACCGTGTAGCTATCGTTCCCACTGGGCAAAGCTAAAACTGGAGCCCTAGTCAATTGTTTCTTAAGCTCTTGGAAACTACTCTTGCACTTAACATCCCAAATATACTTTCCTTGTTTCTTGGTCAAGTTAGTCAAGGGTCCCGCAATTTTTAAGAAATTCTTTATAAATCGACGGTAGTACCCTGCTAGACCTAGGAAACTTCGCACCTCTGTGGAATTTTATGGCCGCTTCCATTTGGCCACAGCTTCTACTTTCGTCGGGTCTACAGCAAGCCCATCTTTTGAAATTATGTGACCTAGAAATGCCACTTTTTCCAACCAAAATTCACACTTACTGAACTTAGCGAACAGTTGGTGCTCTCTTAGGGTTTGCAGCACTATCCGTAAATGTTGTTCATGCTCCTCCCTTGACTTCGAATACACTAAGATATCATCAATGAATACCACTACAAATCTATCCAAGTAAGGTTTGAACACTCGATGCATTAAATCCATGAATGCCGCTAGGGCATTGGTTAAGCCAAAAGGCATTACTGCGAATTCAAAATGTCCATATCGAGTGTTAAACGCCGTTTTCGGCACACCCTCCTTTCTAATTCTCAATTGATAGTACCCTTGTCGCAGGTCCAACTTAAAAAACACCACAGCCCCTTGTAACTGATAAAACAACTCATCGATGTGGGGCAAAAGATATTTATTTTTAATAGTTACTGCATTCAGCCCTCGATAATCAATACATAACCTCAAACTCCTGTCCTTCTTTTTAACAAATAACACTGGAGCTCCCCACGACGACACGCTCTCATGTATGAACCCCCGTTCTAGCAAGTCTTGTAATTGCACCTTTAACTCCTTAAGCTCAGCAGGTGCCATACGATAAGGGGTTTTCGAAATAGGCGTAGTTCCAGGTACTAGATCAACCTTAAATTCAATCTCCCTTTCGGGTGGCAGAAACTCCAACTCCTCCGGAAATACGTCCGGATATTCACTGATTACCGACATGTCCTCCAACTTAATCTTTTCTCTCGGAGTGTTAATCAGAAAAGCTAAATAACCGTGTGCCCCACGACTCAGCAATTTCCTAACCCTTATTCCCGAAATAAGCGCAGAAGAGGCTATCATACCCTTCACGTCTAACTTTAGAGTTGCCTCCCCCGGTATATAAAATTCGACCACTTTCATCCTACAATCTACCCGAGTATGATAGTGAGCTAGCCAATCCATACCTAGAATATATCATACCCCTTAATGGCTAGACTAATGAGGTCAACTACCAATTTCCGCTCGCTGACCCAAATGTCACAATTCTTATATACCTTATTCGCAAGTAAAATTTGATTACCCGTAGGTGTTTTTACCTCTAAGTCATAAGGTAACCTTTCAATTTTCAAGTCAATTCCAAACATAAATGCAGGATTAACAAAAGAGTGAGTAGCACCGGGTCTATCAAAATTTTGGCTAACCGGTGAAAACAGGGATTGTACCTTCTACCACCTCCGTTGGTTCAGGTACGGTTTGTTGATCCAGCGAATATACTCTGGCCGGTACTCTCGACCTGGTCCCTCCAGCATTGGTCGGCTTTGCGTTTGACCTAGACTGGGTATCACTAATCAACGGGCGGTTGCTTATTTGGTGATCCACACTTCCGTATCTTAGGCACTTCCGAGCCTTTTTCCAGCACTCATCCTTTGTGTGGTTTGGTTTCCCACAATATCCACACGTTACTCGGGGAGTGGAGGTTTGGCCTCCCTGGGGAATACCTCTACCTTGACCCCTACCACTTTGGCCTCCCCTCTGGGCACCACCTCTCGAAGCACTTCCCCTAGATGTGCTCGAAAACCGTCCATCTCCAGCCCCACGACCGGATTTAGCAGGTGGCATGCTCCGATCACCTCGCACTGACCCTTGGGCTCCACTAGGTGCCCCTTTCCGTTTAGCGTGAAAATTCCTCATGTGCGCCCTAGCAGTCTCTATCCTTTGGGTCTTCTCCAGTACCTCCGTAAACGTATTAATTTGAGCTGCCGTTAAGGCTTCTTGTAACTCCATATTTAGCCATTGCACAAACCTTCGTACTTTTCTTTGCTCCATAGCTATCAGTTCAGGAGCAAATTTGGACAACTTTGTAAACTGAGTCTCATACTCAGTTACACTCATCGTTCCCTGGCGGAGTTTAATTAAATCGTCCTCTCGCTTCTCCTGGATGATGGGTGGAAGATATTTCTCGTTAAACTCCCGTACGAAGTTTAATCAGGTCCATGCAGTCGCCTCTCTCTCCCACTTGGCCCTCACTACGTTCCACCAAGCCCTAGCTGGCCCCTCGAATTGGAAAACAGCAAATTGCACTTGCCTTTCCTTTGTATAGTTTAAGGCAGCAAAAATATTAACCATGGCCTCCAGCCATTTCTCGGCCCCATCCGGGTCTGGTCCTCCTAAGAACTTGGGTGGAGAGAATTTCTGGAATCTCTCTAAGACCCTATCTTGCCCATTATCAGGGTCCCTAGGTTGATTTACAGGGGTTTGACCCTGTTGTTCCACTAACCGGGCCAAAATATTGGTCATTTGCTGGATGGCGGTTGCCACTTGATCTCCCCCTGCAGCCTGGGGTTCAGGTTGTGGCTCAATTGTTGCCTCTCTCTCCTCTCTCGGTTCTAGCACTGGTTCCTGTGCCTGTCTACTCCCACGGCCTCGGCTAGGACCGTGTCCTCGGTTAGTTCCTTTGGTTTGACTTCTTCTACCCTCCATGTTTTGAGAGTTAAGCAACTATAAACATATAAACAAGGTAAGGTATAGCTCGTATGGTACGTTGCAAAAGGATAAATAGAGGCAAATAAACACGTAATAAACAAGTACTTTATATACATAGCAAACAAGTCATATATACATGCCAACTTAAGCAAGTCAGAGGCTCTACTAGCCCAGGAACATAGAACAAAAGAGACCCTATTTACATCCACCATGACACGTCTAAGTCCAAAACAAAAGAAAACGTATCGTACTACTATGTTCCTAACTATCCCACAAAAGAAACCCTCTCAACTCTAACAAGTCATTCGGCTAGACGCCAACCCAACCGACTCCGAGGATGCACTCGGCTCCTTCTCTGGGTCCTCCTCAGGATCCTCCTAGGAGCACCAGGAACTACAGGCGCTTGGCCCTCTCCAGCCAAGTCCTGAAGCACATCGTCCACTAGGGCCTCGCACTTGGTCAAGATGTGGCCAGTCCGGTCTCTAATATCCGCAACCACTCGCATCAGACGTCCAGTCGTCGCCTGAGCCTGCTCGCGGAAGGCATCCGTCCGCTGCTGCTCCTCCAATACCGAGGCCTCCAGCTCTTGGATCCTAGCCCCTTGATCTCGGAGAGTAGCTCGGAGACGCTCAATCTCCGTCTGGCACCTTCGATTGGCGCTAGCCAATCGTCTCCGCTCGTCGTCCACAGCGAGCACTACCCGATCGGGGTAGGAGTAGGTCTTCCAGCAGTCGCAGCGCCGGATCTTGCGCGCTGGGACACGCACCATCGCTGCACTGGCCCACCAGGACTCTTCTGATATGTAATCACACGGCAAACGGGCCCCTCCAGATGTGGCTCGTCGATAGGAGCGTCCGTAGGCGCGTCAGGGACTACATCGGTCGGTACGTCAATAGGCACAGGCTGGGACGGTCCAGCACTCCCAGAGGCATTGGTACCCGCCATAACCTAGGTTTACAAGTAACATGGCAACAGTAAGTACACGACACATAAAAAACAAGGCTAAAGGATAAGCTCAAGAATAAAACCCTAGTCTATCATATCAAGCACTCAATCTGCCTAGATCAATTCACAACCTAGGCTCTGATACCACCTGTGACGACCCCACCTCCCCCTAAGGCGTATCAAAAGGTTCGGCGGACCGCCTGCCCAACTCTCGCCAGGACTCACTCACATACTCACTCGTATCACCTGTATAATAAATAACATTCACAGTTCAAACTTATAATTTACATTAATACGAATCAAGGTACAAAGTCTCAATATACCCAACTAGTTCAGAGCGTATACAAATCAAATACAAAACATTCTACTCGAGGAATAGCGCGAGTACAAGACAAAAGTCAAAAGTCAAACAACTAGACTACGCTAGCCTTTACACGTCTCACGCCTCGTTTGTACCCCTGTAAGGAAAACAAAACTAACGGGGTAAGCCAAATCTCAGTGAAATTTCAAATATCAAATTGGTCAACAACCCAAGTAATAGCAGAGTAATAGTAAAACAGCGAGCAAACAAGTTATATCAGAGAAATATTACTTCAACTAGTCAAGAAATATCAAGTTCACGTTCACATATAAGGATACAGTAACTCATCTCTCGGTTCCATTCCAGCTTGATCGGTCGGTAGTTGACATTCCGTCAACTTTCAAGTAATAACTAGTCCAAAAATAATACCCCACTTCACGCCAGGCCCGCACGCCACACGAGACACGGGTGGTAATACTCGAGTATACCGTTCTGCGCGAGGAGATACACTCCACTCGACATTACTAGTTACCCAGGGTTCGTTATCTAATCGACTAGGCCCTTGCCGGCTCGACTCGATTAACTAGCCTCAGGGTTTCTGGAATTCCAGACAAGACGAAATTTGTATGCAAGTATAGCATTTCAAGTGAAATCATGGAACAATAGCAATTTTGATTAGGGTAAGTGCGATAAAGTATACTCTTGCCCTAAAATTTCACGTATATAACATGTAATCACATTGGTCACGTATCAAATACAAGTATTAAGTGCAATTCGATATTTGAAAGCACTCACTAAAACAAGTATAGTGTTTTTAGTGGTCTCGTCCAGATGATACTCCTAGCTTGGAGTCCAGATCTGTGATAAAAAGCTGCTTAAGAACTTGGAAAATCATGTAAGGTTCGAAACTTAGACGTTTCGTTCAATAATAATCAAGAAATTGAAATTTGTTTGGAAAATATCTGTAGATCACTCGCTCGCTTTTCAAATGGTAAACTTTGGAATCAATTATACTTGGAAATAACTTTTAAGTCGAAAGTGCAAGGAAAACAGATTTATAGTGATTAATACCACCTTCCCTAGGGGTACAAGTTCGGATAGGTTCTAACGTATAACCCTCGATAACCAAAGTAGCAAAATTCCTAGATGGTTTAAGTGATATTCGTTTGTCAACCTTACCCAAGTCGTAAGTGTATCTCTCTAGTCTTCGAACGTGAATTTGGGCAGCATGCCCTTTGTGTTTACCTAATTTTTCAGCCATTTTGGCTTTATTATTTTTCTCATTCAACCCCAAAGTCATACATATCATAGATTCAATTAAATAGCCGTTCCATAGGCTCATAACAACATAAGACCAAAAATCAAAGTGATAACAAGTGCGGAATTGTAACCTAGCAAAAGACAGGTTTGACGTGTTTTTACGGAAATGACACAACTGATACTATGCTTATCGAATTGAGATGCAACTTACACTGTTTCGAAGATAAGACATAGGGCTACAATGTTTATGAAGATCACTTAGTGTAATTTCCAGCGTAACTTGGTCAAATTCCCAAATTACAGAGCCAACTTCCAACTATACGGTTAATTAACTGCACTGCACTAGAATGGTCATATCTTAGGCTACCAAGGTTCGTTTAAAGTGTTCTTGGAGGCGTTTAAAAGCTAAGACACAGTAATAAAACTTTCATGTTTTGGAAAATGACTAAATCCGAACGGATAATAGTGAATAAACACAACCAAAAAGACTAAACTGTCCACGCGGAACACTGGAATTTAACCTAGGGCAATAAGGGTATTTTAGTCTTTTCACAGGCTACGTTACTCTGATTGAGCTGAAATTTTGTAGGCACCTATATAATACCATTCTATATAACTTTCATGTTTTAGGCCAAGCCTAATTCGGCCTTTAACTATGAGTACTAAAACCGGGCAGAATGTAAACATAAAATTCCAGAAATCTGAAGTTTTTGGGATTTCATGACAATCTATTTATTTTCTAGCTTCCAACACTACCAAAGCCCCTTATATAATCTTATATACAACATATACTAACTATACAACAAGTTTATGCAGAAATTTATTAAACCCTAACTTGCATATATCATCCAAAATTATCACCACAACTTGCATATCTTGTAATCAAGCCAAAACATGAACTAGATAACATCTTAAACCAAAATTTAAAAGAACAAGAACCATGATCAGATCTTATACCTCAAAGACAAAGCTTGGAAGAGTGATACTCCACCTCCTTTGGAAATTTTTAGTTCCCTAGCTTCCCAGCTCACAACTCACTCTTTGATCGGTTTAGTTTCCTTTCTTTCTCACTTGGTTGATCAAACTCAAGATGAAATGGTTGTTTTTCTTGCTCTCCCTTTTCTCTCTCTCTCTCAGCTGTGATGGTGCAGAAATGAAGAGCTTTGGAGTTGGTTTTAGGGATAAATATGATGTAAATTCATTAGTCAACCAACCAAGGGAAGACTACCACTTGTTGCTTCAAGATTGGTTCTTAATTTTTTCCTTTTCCTTGTTGTTTTTGGTCAAAAAATTCGGCCAGCTTGCTCAGCTTTATAGCTGATGTTTGGCTCTAATATTAAAGAGATTAAGTATATAAAAAATGACGGTCAAGTGGTGCGTTCAATCGGTGGTGCGCGGTACCTGTCGGTTCGCGCCGTTTTTCCTTAAATCACACGTACTAGGGTTTTTACTTCCTATTCACTAACTTTTTATCATTGCTCCTAATCACATAATATTTCTCACTTAAGAGTCACTTTTAATCACCAAATTTGGTCCTTACTCTGTACCGAAAATTCATCCGGCGGAAAATCACGAAAACCCTAATTTTGCTCCAATCTTGAAACCAAAAGTGAAACCCTACTTTCTAGGTTTATTTACACTTATTGTGGTATAATTGGGTAGTAGGGCTTTAATAAATAATAATTTCCAAATAAAAGGGCATTTTTGAGAAAAATATGAGAAATTTGCGAGTCCTCACATGTCTACTACTCTTGTGATATTAGAGGCCTGTTTGGAACTTGAGTTTTTTGGAAGTTTGTCTAAAACTTTACTGCAGTGTACTGTAGAAGTTTTTGAAAAAATTTTATAGAATTTTTTGTAATGGTAAAAATTTTTTTTTGTAAAAGTTTATGTAAAGTGAAAAATTTTATAGAAGTTTTTGTAAAGTGAAATTTTTTTTCCTTTTCTTTTTTTCTTTCCTTTTTTCTTTCTCTTTCTTTTTCTTTTTCTTTCTTTCCTTTTTCTTTTCTTTTCTCTCTTCTCTTCTTCTTCCTTTTTCTTCTTCTTCTTTCTTCCTTTCCTCTCTGAGGCATTCCTCCCAGGTACCAACTCACCGCCCGCCACCCCCTTTCCTCCCTTTCCCCTTCTCCTCCCCACTGCCCTCCTACTCCCTCCCCCGCCACCCCCTCTACCCCGCCACCTCCTGTGTCCCTTCTCCCTCTGCCTTGCCACCCCCTGCCCTTCCCCAGCGCAACTCCCTCTCCCCGCCACCCATCTCTGCCAGCGACCCCCTCCCCTTGCCACCCCCCTCTGCCCCCGCGACCCTTTCCCCCCGCCACCCCCTGCCCTTTCCCCAGCGTGACTCCCTCACTCCCGCCACCCCTCTCTGCCAGGGACCCCTTCCCCCTGCCCTTTCCTCCCTCCCCGTTACCACCTGCCCTTTCCCGACCCAGGCGCTACCCCCACCCTTTCCCCAACCCGACCCAGTGCGACCCCTCCCCCCTGCCCTTTCTCCAACGTGCGCCTTCTTCATAGCCATCAACAAGCCAGGCACATCTCCGTGTTTTGGGGGACGAAACGGGTCGACACCCGTGGTGGTGGTGGGTTGGGATTTGAGTGGAAGAAGAAAAAAGGAAAGGGAATTTTTTGTGTGTTGAATTTTTTTTTGTGTGTTTTGGGTATTTTGAAGTGTGTAGGTAAAAAATTTTGAGAAGGTTTTTTTGGGTTCCTGTAGCAAAAGTTGTTAAAAAACTTGTAGGTAAAAAACTTGTCCAAAAAACTAGCTTCCAAACAGGCCCGTAGTTTGGTTCTTGATGAACTGCCCTTGCCTATACTTCCTTGATACCTATTAATTTATGTCAAAGTATGGACTTGGTTTTGATTATTATCATCTGAGATTGAAAGTTTTGGAACTATGTATAGAAATTTTGAGAAGAAGGATTAGGGTTCTATACCTATATGCCAAAACTTGAGGTAGGGTGTGAAACTTTTGATGTACGAAATATACTTTAGGGTTTCGCTTGTGCATAAGTTAGGGGTGTGCAAAATCGAAAATTCCGATTTACCTCGAAATTTTGAATTCGGTAATTCGGAATGGAAATCGGAATATCCGATTTCGAATTGGTTGAATTCGGGTCGAATTCGATAATGAGATTTTTGAAATCGAAAATTCCGATTTCGAATTCACAATTCGAAATTGAAATCGAAATCGGAATTCAAAATTCCTAATTCGATTTCAAATTTGTTTTTCATATATATATAATATAATATTTATATTATAATAATAATTTTTACATTCATGAATTTGGTGAAATCGAAATTTCGATTTCGATTTCAATTTCATTTTCACATATATATAATATTTTTTTTAAAATATATGTAATATAATATTTATATAATAATAATAATAATTTTTATATTCATGAATTCGGTGAAATCGAAATTTACCGAATTTCGAATTGAATTCGGAATTGGTGAATTCGAAATCGAAATCGATTGAATATTCTGATACCAAAATTCAAAAAAAATCTCGATTTCAAAGTTTTGAATTATCGATTTCGATTTCGATTCACACTCCTAACATAAGTGATAATGGTACCCCTTGTGTTAAGACCTCGGAATAGTAATAAGTGGCATAGTATCTTGAGGTATTGCCCTACCTATGCTCTACTTTCTCGTCTATCTCATTTAAGAATAGCTAAGTTTAATCTTTCATAGTTGGATTGGGAGTAAATGAACTTAAAAGATATATGACTAGAGTTTCCAATTGTAATTAGCTACTTATTGTGATTCTTTGATTTGCCCGGTAGGCTATTATTTGAGTATAAGTGAAATAGTGAGATGACAACTTTGGCTGAGATGCATAAGGAAATAGATTCTTCGAAAGGAAGTAGAGTTCCAAAAGATATTGGCTGACCACTGGAAAGGACGATGGAAACAAGAATATACAGAGAAAATTGAACCGCTGCACAAGAACATAGAATTGAAAAGAAATACGAAAGGATCTCGGAAGAGATGCGGAATAAGTTTAAATTAGTGTATTCGCCTAGTCAAGTAGCATCTCAAGGCATTCCTAGTAATCAGTTAAAAGGGGTGAAGGAAGTTCCTGCAATACTAAAGTGAAATGTAAAGCGATTAGTGAAAATGAACTTGCTAGGAGGGATAAAGGGACGGAGAAAAGAAAGAATGGACACTTCAAGAAGAGATGCATAGCTGCTAAGTGTAAAACATGTAACAAAATTCATACTGGATTATATTATTTGAAAACTGGTGCATGCTTTAGATGCGGCCGACTTGGACATCAAGTGAGGAACTGTCCAAGACAAATGAATTCCACGATGGTGAATTTGCTGTAATAGTCAAAGTCAACAATTGGTGATGCTTTGCCTGAAATAGTTGTAATTATTGGACTATGTGTAGTGAAAGTTTTATGTAGTAAGTTGTATCTTTGTGACAGCCCCACCTTCCCCTAAGGCGAACCAAAGGGTTCGGCGGACCGCCTGCCCAACTCTCGCCGGGACTCAGTCGTTCACTACAGTCCTCAAATAAATTATAATATAAGTCTCAAATATACATCAAATTCTCCAATAATTACATGTCATAAACGAAGCGTCCACGCTTAAAATTAGTTTCCGCTTCATACATCCATGCGATCCTTGATACCAACTACTATACAAGAGAAAGTTCAAAATTCAAAGTACACAAACATCCACTTCAATTCCAAATCTAAACTGTACAAGATATAAGCCATCCAGCCACGAGAATAAGTACTACAAGCCTTTCCTTCGCCACGAGCCCTGTGGAGGGGAATAAAATAGTTTTGGGGTGAGCTAAAAGCTCAGTGAGTAACCAATAAAATCAGTAATCAAATATATTTCACAATCGTTCATTTCAATGATGTCATGAATCAGTAATTAAATGTATGTTTATTGCTCTCATGAGCCAGTGAAGTCATTGTACTTAAACACCCAACGCTCAAATAGATTACTTAACGTTAAACAATAAGGGGGAGCAACGTTGGTGCTCCAAATCATGTCATGAACAATAAACAGGAGTGGAGACGTTGGTGTTCAGCTCAAGACTCCTCAAGAACTCATTTAAGCAAAATCATGTCATGAACTCACATGCACGCACACATGATATGCAGTCGAGTAAATAATGCAAGAAACATTTCAAAAGTATTTTGGAAACAGTTTAGGGTGACTCACCTCCACGGATCAGAAACCATCCATCATATATCATTACCTTGCCCGAGTCCAAGCCCTAAATCACAACTCAAAGCAATCATACATTCTCAAAGTTCGGACAGCATTTCCCCATAAATGCTTCATTTCCAACCTACAATATATTACCAATCACACATACGGTTAATAAGCAATAAAATATATCCAATTAGGCCACAATATCCTTCAATCAAAGCTAATTAGAAGCTTAAGAGCCACCATTAGAAAAACCCCCAATTAAACCCTAGAAACCGGAATTCATTCCCTCAAGCGTAAATTTTCCGCAACGATCGCAATTAACGTAAAACGTTTCGTTTAACACCTTTCGGCACAATATCCATAACTGAAGCTATCCTTATCGGATTGAAACGAATCTTACGGCGTTTCGAAGCCAAGACATAAACCTACATTTCTTACAGAGACCTCCAAGGCCAAATCATGCATTTTCATGGTCAAAAATGGAAATTTCCACGAAAACAGAAATCTGGGTGCGGAACAGGGTTCATGGACAGTCAAGGGTATTTCGGTCATTTCACATGCTACAGTGCTTGGATCAATCTGAAATTTTGCATGCCGCTAGTTAACATCATTTGCTACAACTTTCATGTTTTAACCTAAACCTGATTCGGCCTCTAGTATGCTTGAATAAATCTGGTCAGAACAGGGCAAATGTAAACCCTAAACCTAGAATTTCGTATCAAACCAGAAATTTTCCGCAACCAACTTCAACTAACATATACAAGCTTCATTTTACACCATTACCAGCCATCATACCATGATCAAACCATGATTCTCATACAAAATAAAAAAATAACAATAATAAATCAAAATTCATCAAACCTTCACTTCCAACCATAATCACACCATATGTCATCATATTAAACCAATAAAGCCACAAATTGAACATTATCAAAGCTAAAGGGAAAGATTCTTAACAACTCACCTTGTAACCTCAAGACAACAAGCAACTTAGCACCTTTGCTTCTCAAACCATTTCACCACTCACTTTAATCCTACCAAGAGAAAGGTTTTTATGGAGCAAATCAAAGTTTTAACGGTTGGTTTGTGAGATCAAGGCAAGAAATGGAAGAAACAAGTTGAGAGCTTTCTTTTCTTTTCTTGTTGAGAGGGCTGGCCAAAGGAGCTAAAAATGAAGAAATAAATTGGCCAAAATTAGCTTTAAGAAAGTAAAAATATCTTGGTCAAAAGTCCAAGGATGAATTGAATGGCGACACTTGTCACCTTTTGCTTAAAGCTTATCTCTTTGTCTCTCTAATACTAATCCATATAGGTAACTTCTAATTATCTCTTAGCACCTTGTAAAATAATATCACTTCATACAAAACTCCAACAAGTTGTCAAAAATTTATCGCATTTACCGCACTAGCGGGTCCCACGTTGATAATACACTTCAAATTTAATGTGGACTAACTTGTACCAAGGAAATGATTTGAAAACTACTATTCTTTTATGAAAATGTATAGAAAATTAATATATTGAAGAAAGGTACAAAATTATAGACAAGGAAACAAAATAATGTCTCGAAAATATATAAAACAATTTTCGGGTTCTCACACTCATTCTTTCGGGGCATCACAATCTTTGTTAGAAACAGTGAACTTGGCACCTAATATTTTAATTAGTGATATTAAATGTTTATAGTTGGGCGGCATTGAATCCTTATCTATAAATCAATTACTATAATTTAGTCTTGGATTTAAGTGAGAATTCCTCATTTGTGGTTCGAAAGGATGAAATTTTGATTAGAGAGGGTGATTTGGGTCTAGTGGTACAATTGTAGAGATGATAGGGGATTTACATTGTCAATGATTTGTCAACGTATAGTGTATGAGTTTAAGAACTAGCAAGAATAGTAACCAAGTTTCATATCTTCTTTTCATCACGTTTGAAGTTTGTATCACCTTTCACCTTTTGATACCTTCATTTGATCTTATTTAGCATGTTAACTTAGCTATTACGTTATTAAGATTTTTCCTCTAGGCAAGTTGGTGGTAGCAACATGAGTGAGGGAATCTCTTGAGAAGTAGAGAAAACCCTATAAAAATCGAGATTTGTGAGCAAAGGTTAGAATTTCGAGGATGAAATTCTTTTAAGAGAGAGAGAGTGTGAGAACCTGAAAATTATTTTATATTTCATTTTATTTCTTTGAATACATTTTCTTTACTTTCCTTTATTACCTTAATTTTCTAGATATTTTTATGAGTGAATTAAAAATTTTAATCATTTTTCTTGTATAAATAGTGCATGTTAAGTTCGTAGAAGATTAGTGGTAGGACCCACTAATGAGGTGTGTACG